TTGATTTGTGCTTACACAGCTGCCATTTGCCTGGGATTACTATATATCCAAAAATCCCAGGCTCATAGCCAAAGCCCTCATAAGAGGGACACATCTGGGGAAAATCTGACATGTTTTAGGTCCAGGCATGTGGGCTGTGGAACTGAGGCAGTCTCATGAAATACCAAAAGCTTGGACAGAAAATGCATCTGATCTAAATTCTGTACTTAAAAAAAAAAAAAAAAAAAAAAAGAAAAGGAAAAAAAACCCTCCTCCTATTGCAAAGATGGGGCTATGTCTGGAAAACATAAACCCAACAGAGAACTGTGGGAATAGAGCAAAGATCTTGAAAAAGGGCTGATACTTTAGAGGAAGGAAACTGTGATACTACCAGAGCACTCTGCCAAAGTGCATGCCTGATGACTGCTAGACATTTAGCAGACCTGCCAGGAGATGATGTTGGTGGAGCCAAAACTGAGGAACAAGTGTGGTACCATGCTGGGAACTCTGAACTCCTCTTTGCCTCTCCTGTCACTTTTTCCAAATCAAGCCCAGTCTGGTAAAGCACTGTTTGAACACAAACAATGACTTTATCAAAGGAGGTTGCAACTCCCCTACCTTTTGAAGCATCACTTTTTTTGGGGGAGCAGAATACCACTGGACTCTTCAGCAAAAGAACACATTAGCATAGAAAGTTCCCTCTTGATCTTGGTGATCTCTACAGTCACCTTTTCTTCTCCTATTGCTCAGCTGAAAAAGCCTGCCAAGACAGCTTTTGTTTTAACCTTCACCAGGTTAAAAGATAATTTTAAAGTAAGCTTGGTTCTCTCAGATCTGACTGCGGGCCTTTATGTGGGCAAGCTGACATCTTTCTAACATTTACTTCAGCACTATTTTCCTACAAAGGTATTAAAAAGGAATGTACCTTTTTCTTATCACTTGAAACACATTACCAGGATGCTAAGAATTTAACAGCTCAATCTGCTTTTGCGGCCTGTCTCACATCTTGGCAGCTACTGCTGAAAATCCACCCTGTAGTTAAGGCCTTGTCTCCTGCTGCTAATTAGAGACTGGCATTTCACAAGGACAAAACATTCATTGCCCACTACTGAGTAATCCCTCAAATATTTATGTTCTGCTACTATTCCTAACAGAACTGTCTATAACTGCAGCTCTCCTTTCCCATGATCCCAATAAACTGTACAGAATTGCTGTACAAATGTACAAGAGTCACTTTATTAAAAGAGCAAGAAGATAGATTTAATCTCAGTGTCAATTCAAAGACTTGAAAAAGACAAGTACTATACACAGACCTAAAGAAAAAAAGGCCTTCAATTACCTTCAGAAGTTTCCAAAAGTACTGATTTACTTTTGAATGCACAGAGAAGCTGACATCTGACATAAAGAAGGTGGAATAAAAAGTGTAACTATATTAGGGCAGGCTATGAAATCACCTAGGCCAGTATCCC